CTGTAGATACAGCAAAAGAATCTGTAACAACAAGGCTGTACTTTTGATTCCTGGAGCTATCAGAATGGCCCCTTAAAATTATGATCCAAAATGGAGTTGTTTTCCCATGTGTTTGAGTTTTCAAGAAGATTTTAGGAATGGGGGGGTGGGGGTGGCAGGTACTTACGTTTACTTATTTATTTATTTTAATGGAGGAACTGGGGATTGAACCTGGGACCTCATGCATGCTAAGCATGCACTCTACCACCGAGCTATGCCCTCCTGCTGTGTTTTTAAGAAAAGATCTTACATGAAAGATGAGAGAGCTACAGTGACTCTCCCAAGGTTTTCTGAATGACACACAAGCACCTAGGAGGAACTTTTGCCTTTTTCCCTCCAAATTAAGTACATAAATTATAATAGGGCCTGATATATCACAGAACAAAAACTGAAATTCACATTAAGGCCTGAACTTGGTGTTTTAGAAGAGAATTTTTCTAGGTTCTGTAGACTCTGACAGTTAACAGTTGTCTGAGTATATTAACGAACCAGGCTTTGTGGTTTTAATCATCACATACCACAGAGATAAAATTCTTAAGAAATGATTTCTAGGCAAAAATGACATGGACAGTATTTTTAAACTATTAGAGATTCTACCTCAGGAGAACGGCTATTGCAATTTTTTAATTTCATGTTGATAAATTTTTTGACAGGAAAAGAGAAAATTCCAGTGAGAGATGATTTTCTTTACTCAGTAGGATCGAGGGGCAATTAACCGTAAGAGTTTTTAGAACAGAGACCAAGTTGTACTTATCTCTGAAATCCCAGTGACTAACTCATAGTAAGTGCTCAATTAATAGCTGATACATAAATAAATGTAGCAGCCAGACATCCTGGGAGATTCCCACAAATCTGAAGCTTTCTTCCACAGCCTTTCTTGCTATTTGATTAGAGCCACTTAATTTTACTGGGCCTCAAGTTCTGCATCAATCCAAAGTGTAAGGCAGGTCTTTCCTCTGGAACTGACTGTACGGATAGTGTTTCTCCAGTGCATAAATGTATAACAGATGAAGGTGAAGAGGAGGACAATGGGAAGTGGTTATTCCTTAAAAATAATGCTTTCTTCCTTGGAAAGGGGTTGCTGAGCCATCCAGACTATTTTGAAGGATCTAAGCAAGGACTCTTGATTAATTACTTCCATTAGAGTTCCTCCTTGAGGGCCAAAGTTACACCTGTCACTCCCCCTTCTCCTTGAAAGGACCAGCTCTCCCAAGAGCCAACATAAAGCTCCCAGAGTTAGGCCACTGTAGGTTGGGAGGAGAGAGGCATCTCTTGCACCTTCAGGTGCTGAAAACTCAGCCTCTTGAAGAGTTGCTAGGTCCTCCTGAATCCTAGGAGGGCCCAACCAGCCGATGTAGATTATCAAGATTCACAGCAAGTGGTCATGTTCTTCTTGGGCATGATTCTCGCAGCTAAGGAAGAGGTGTAAGAAGACCTATTTATGGGGAATGTTTCTGCAGAGAATTTGAAATGACTCTGAAGAATTGGTTTGGTGGCATGTTTTATTCTTAAGGCTCTCTTTCAGAGGGGTGCTTTTGTGAAACAAAACCAACCCCAGTAAAAATGAAATCAGTAGGAGAATGTACAAGGGCCAGAAATAGTTCCTGAATTGCCAAACTCCTTACTCTTCTGATGTAAACAATATTAAAATGCAGTGCTTTCACTAGGAAAATTCTTCAAGGTGCAGTTCCTTTAAGAATCAGTTCTGCTGTTAAGGAAACAACAAAAAAAATCCCTATACTTCCGCAAAGGGTTTTAAATGTATCAGTAACCTTCTTTTTATCTCTACTCCCCACCATCCAAATTTAAACCAACCAAAGAATCTGAGTATAAAATTACTGTCCTGGGTGGGGGAAACTCCTACACATAGTATCAACAGTGCTTTTAGAGCAAAAGATGATCATTAGGACTTTGGTATATGTACGTTGATTTATTTAAAAAGAAAAACAGATATATATGGATTTTTTTGGAGGAAGCTCAAGTTAAAGATATATTTTCCTCTTTGTAGCTCTAAAATTTCATTGTCTTTACAAGTAGAGTGGATCGGATTGAGTTGTCAGACAAAAAGTAAAAGTTTATCACATCTAGCAATCAGAATAACTACATTTATAGGCACAGTCATCTTATTTATTAGTGTCTCAGCTTTTCTGTCACGTTCCAGTGTGCTTTAAAATAACATATGCAAATTCATCCACTAAATACAGGATAATTAAAGCAGTATTCTGTCCTCAGTCAGGAAACATAGAATGCATTTCATCCAAATAAGCCTTGAAGAGACTAGTCAAGTGACAGATCAAATAAAAAGGACACTTAATACACATGTAAATCATTTGCATTATAAATAAGACACTTTAGCAGGGGCTGGACTCATTGCCTGGTAGTCAGGATTAAGTTCCCATATTAATGCATGCATTTGGTGTGGTTATTTTGGGCGGAAGACTTCATCCATCAATGCCCTCCACCGCTAAGTAAAGCCAACCCGTAAACTGATCACTACAGCCTGTCAACACTGGTTACTTAATTACATAAAGAAAATATATTTCAAAAACTTTTGGTAATTTGGTTAGTATTTCAGTTTTGCTTTAACATCTAGTATCTTTTTCAAACTTCTTCAAAATAATGGTTAAAAGCATTTTTAAGAATGAAAACGGAAAAAACTGAGTATCATTTTTATGTTTCCTGGTTCCCTGCTAATGTTTAGGGGTTTTTGTTTGGTTATTTTGTTTATTTGGTTGGTTTTCTTGTTTTATTTGCAGAAGCAAAAGTATAAAGATTCAGTAAGCATGAATGAAATGAAAACTAATATGAATGAACTATTTTTTAAAATGTTTCCATTAAAAATTAAACTCAATATACTTATGTTGTTAATTTGTATTTTTCATTAGTTACTTTAGTAATTTCAAATTCCAATTTCTTTGTTATTAATTAGTAGTTTTAAAATATTGACTTTTTATAGAAAGGAGAAACTACTGAAGAAAAATTTCTTCTAGTGAAGAATATTTTCATACTTTCAGCTTAATTATATTTAAAAGGCTATAAACATATTATGAAATTATCTACAATAAAGCTCATTCGAGAACACGATCTACCAGGGATATCCAAAGATTCTCTCTCTTACCCAGGTGTTTGGTTCTCTTTCCATGTAAGAATTTAACAATGTCACATAAATAATGAAGCTCCACACTATTAAAAGCAAAAAATATCTGCATCTGCATATTTTAAATGTCTTTCCATGAAAAAAACATAGCAAATCTGGAAGTCTTGTTACAAATTCTTTCTTGAAATCTTGATCATATTAACCATTTAAGAAAGCATTCCAAGCCCCTCCCACCCCACCCCCCACAAATGGAAAAAATGTGTGATTGAACCTAAGAAAATACACTTGAAAATGCAATCTGCTCATCATAAGCAATTAACATCAAATTACACTTAAAGATCCCTTGCAATTGAATGATAAAGTTATAATTTGATCATTTTCATCAATATTCCTTCATAAACGATCATTATCAGATATTTTTCAATTGGTTATACTCTTCCTATATTTTCCCTCTGGTCTGTTTACTCTAAAGGATCTTTTCCTTAAATCACACTGATTCTATTACTTTATAGTCTATTTAAGAAATTGGATATTTGTTTGAAAATGCCAAACCAAACATGCTTTAAAAAGTACAATGAAAAGATCTAGAGTCTTACCCTCTTTCTTGGTGGGTTCTGGCATGGTCACAGTAAAATGTTATTCTCCAAAGAGTTTGTTCCCCTCCAGGACTAGTTGACAGAAACCCCAGGAGCAGTCGGGAGATGGTGCAGGTCAGTGTGACAAGCAGTTGGGGCGAAGTCCAGGGCTTTTATATTCCCTCTGAACATCAGTCATGTTGGCACCACCCCTTCTTCAGCACAAGGATGCTGGAACTTGACAGCTATGAGGACCTTTCTCACATCTGTTGTCTGCACTCTGCTCTCTCGCCTACTGGAAGGAATCTTCTGTCCATCTCATGTGGCTGTGAGAACACCTCTAACTTTCTAAATTCAGCTGCAGCCTCGTGCTCCTTCTTGCTCTTCTCTTTCGTCTGACAGAGGCATGTGTCAACTCAGAAATGCAACAAGTGTGCCTGATAAAAAATTAAGTGAAATCCAATTAAAAAATCATAATATACTAATTTAACATGTACCTTAATTTTCACTAAGATTATAAAGAAAAGTCTCTATATTGATGATAATGTTATACTCCCATTAGCTTTTTATTTTTGTCAGTTCTTTACTTATTGGGTTTACATTTTTCTCTTATTTTTAATTACTATATTAATACTAATTTGTCAAGCCAAATTTCTATGTTGAATATCTTGTCTCATTTTCTCTGCCAAGAATAGCAGAGATTTCTATTAAGGCATACTTAGCATTTACCTTTTTTCAAATGTCCTTTAAAAAAATTACAGTGTATATAAAAGAATGAAGAATTGACACATGCCACAATATGCAGAAAGCTTGAGAACATTATGCTAAGTGAAAGATGCCTGACACAAAAGACCACATATTGCATGATTATATTTATATGAAATACCCAAGACAGGCAAGTCCATAGAGTCAGAAAATCAATTAGTGGTTGCCAAGGGCTGAGGGAATGTGGGGTTGGGAATGACTGCTAGTGGATATGAAGTTTCTTCTGGGAATGACGGAAGAGCTCTGTAATTGGGTAGTGATAATGGATGTAAACCTTTGTGAATATATTAATAAACACTGAATTGTACACTTAAAAATATATGGGCATGGGCAAAGAATGTCTGCTAGACCGGTAGCCATTGTTTTGTTTCAAGATGGCAAACACACAAATCTGACAAGATGCTGGTAAACTGCCAGATTTGGCCACTTTCTCCCCAAACTCTCATGGAACTGATGAAGAGATATGGACTACCAAGTGCTTGAACTAAAAAAGACACCAGAGCAGGCTATAGCTCAGTGGTAGAGTGCATACCTAGCATGTGCAAAGTCCTGGGTTCAATCCCCAGTACAAACCTAAAGTTACCCTTCCCCATTATAAAAAAAAAAAGAAACAAACAAAAAGATAAAATTGTCTTTAAAAAAGACACCTTACTTTCTTTGTTCATATGCATGACCCCTCAGAGACCAGGACTAAAATTAATTTATGTGAAAAGATGACAACTTATATTCCTTTATAGGTACGTGTTTTCCAGAGACTTTGATTGATTTCTGCTGAACCAGCCACACTGTTTCATTTAATTTCCCTTGCGGCTGACAGCACAGCTGGTCAGACTTAGCTCTACCAAACTCTGTGCCAAGTTAACTTTTCATATAAGGATGGAAACTCAACCTAGAACTCAATGGCATCATGCTTTAGTTATTTGGGAGGGAGGGAGAGGAAAGCCAGGCAAGAAGGTCAGTGGACATCTTCTACAAAGAAAGCCTTTTCTCAACCACATTGTGCTACAGAGCACATTGTTTTACTGTCAAAAATATTCTTTTGCTCTTAAGAGGCTAAATAGCTAAAATATCAGCCAGAAAACAGCATAAGGTAATATGAAGTTAGATGTGCCTTGAAAGGAAAAAAACAATTTTTCATTGAGTCTACTATGAGAGTATCAATTAATAGATGAGATAAATTAAAGAGTCTAGAGCTTGAAGTCAGGCTCTTGAGTTTTATTTCTGGACCTATCATTAACAGGCTGAGTTACTTGAAGAAAGCCAAGTGGCCCTTCTGGGCCTCAGTACCCTTTTGTGTAAAATGAGGGGCTTAAAAATGACCTCTGAAGCCTCTTCCAGTTTTAACACTGTGATTCTGTATGACTAGTCCCTAAAAAAGGAATCATGTTTTTTTCAGCATTCCCAGCACACTGAATACCACGTAAGAAAAGGACGTAAGGGCAAAGTGTCATGTTACAGAAGAATGTTTATACAGTGATGGGCACATTTCACACATGCCACAAAAGAGGTGCCACACTGTCACTGGCTTCTGCAGGCACTCTGCTGGGTTTTTAATACACTGATCATTTTACTGAAGTGAACATGTGCCAGGAAATATTGCAACCCATGGAGAAAATATTTTATGACCCAAGGAACTTTTGGGTAATTAAAGACTTGATTTTGAAAAGACAAAACATTATTGGAGCAGTTACAAGTATGTACAAATTCTGGGATAAATGGCTATAGCCTGTATTAGATGGTTAAAGTAAGATTTTAAATCAGAGTAATAAGTAGACATGTGTAATTCTCCCAGGATTGTATTAAGAACACATAACCTACAAAAATAAACTCAAAATAAAGGCCTAAATGTAAGACCAGATACTATAAAACTCCTAGAGGAAAACATAGGCAGAAAGAACACTCTTTGATGTAAATCGCAGTAATTTTTTTAATTTTAAAGATTGA